CAAGCATGTTTTCAACAGGACTAATGTATCAAATGGACCTAAGTGAGCGACCATATTTCATTTTCTCACTCCTTACCTCAACTATCACTGCGCCCCAGTGTCTTTCTGAATGTTTACGCGCGATATTTATTTTTCATTTTACACTGATGTTAATTATCAAAGTATTCATCTCGGCAGACGTTCGATAGATGACCCAGACATATTTTAATTGCATCATATTCATATTCACCGCTACCATCCTACGGGACGTGTCAAGCACTTGCTTTTATCCCGTGATAAGTCATTGTTCATTGTTCATTGTGGAGCAGAACCTCATGGTTCACTTTCTCGAAAGCTGTACTGAAATCAATGTAGATAACTTCCACTGACTTCCCCCGCTTCAACGCTTGCAAGCATTCCTGCTGCCTCAGCAGCAGGTTGGTGATGCGCGAGTGGCCATTCATGAAACCATGTTGCTCAGATGTGGCTCAGGCGCTCGAAGAAAGACCTTCGAGCTCTACATAGGCGCAAGCCCACTTGTATATACGAAAGCGAAGTGCACCGCCTATGCGGACGCACTTTCAGTGCTGGAAGTCAGAAGCTGTCCGTCAGTGCCCTCTAACATAGCTAAGTCACTTGCGGGCCTCAGACGCCGCCACACGTAAACAAAGATCTTCTTGGGGCCGTCTTCGCTGAGGTGGCAAGCTCCTCTTGGAACTGCCGACACTTTCGTGCTTTTTGTTGCATAAATTCCGCTGCCTCTTCACGTCTCGTACTCGTCGGCGGGGCCAGATACGAGAACCTCATTCCACAATACTCGTCGCCGTCCAGCCAGTTGACTATACTCTCTGTCCAATCGTTGTGGCTTCACTGGCTCAGCTTTCTGATCCTTGACGAGTACGAAATGAGCGCACAACGATTGCACACCCTCTTTGATAACAGACCAACGGGCTTCAACAGATGAATGCTGCAGCAGCGACCAGTCTACTTCACTGGCGGATCGATTTAGACCATTGTAGGCGATCTTCCAAGAATTGTAAGGTCACTCTGGCAGACGCGAGTAGGTCAACGGGAGGTCTAAGCTGTCTAACACCATCGAGTGGTCACTAGCGTGCCAGAGGCTCCAGGAACTGCACTTCGTCTACACGTTGCTCGCAACTCGTTAGTAGTAGGTCCAGGCATGATGGAGCGGAATGCGGTGTAACTTACGTCGGTTAGCAGGCATGTTTGCTTCCCTAGTGGCAAATACCTTCGCAAACTGCGCCTAGACTGCACAGTGTCCGGGGAGAAGTTGAACCTCAGGCCACAGTGTCCGAGGGAAGTTAAAAGCACCCGTAAATAGGAAGCCGGGTCGACGCATGTAGTTGCTGGCATGCAGCAACCAATCCGGGCATCGATTTCACAGGATGCGATAGTCCGCACCCACAAACAGTGCACTCTGTCTCAGGCAGATCGAACACCATAACTGTTCGCACAAACTCTTTTTGCTACGGTATGTGCACCAGTCCCCTCACAAGGAGGGCCCAATGTGTAGCAGCACGCTGCCTCGACCGTTTAATAGTCTGTCGCACCGGTAGCACGAATAGCCACTGATATGAACTTTCTGGGTAGTGGTCTCAAGATTTAACCAGGTTTCGGCCAGTCCTAGTACGTCCGGACGATATGAGGCGACGAAGTGAAATACATCGTCACGTTCGTTCATTAAACTACAGACATTTTTAAGGCTATGCACAGTCCGCGGTAGGAACCTGCAGACGCTCATAAAGCGTCATCACTCTGTTGATTCCGGTCCGGCGGATCCGGGGAACTACCCAAAAGTTTACAATGTGGAGATTGGTTTCTCTACTATCGATCCGCCGTTTCAACTCCACGATAGCAGACATCAGTTTCTCTGTCCGAGGGATTCCAATGGGAAAGAATATGGATATTTGGACCGCTTAGTCTACCGAGGAGTTGACTTGGCAGTGGGAAATGAAATCACTGACGACCAAACTGAGTGCCGTTGGTCCGTCTCGCCTTCCGGGTTGGAGTCCACGTGACTCACCTTGTGCTTGGCTCGAGACTTTACAGGACATGGCTCGCAGTAGACACCAGTGGCGCGTCTGCTGCCGTCTCCTAATCGGATTGTCTGTTTAAAGTGTGTTTGGTGCTGAGTTATCTGCGGGGTAATGGCTGATTATGACGCGTGGCAGTGAAAACCGCAAGGAAGCTGTCTCACCGATGCCGCCTTATCTTTGCACGATAGCCAGCTGTTTGTGACGGTATGTTGTCTACACAAGGTGTAAGCGCCTTGACCCAGAATGTTTGCTTAGGGCAGCAAGGTTTTCAGGTAAGTCCCCTTTCTCTCCCTCTTCTTATTCTTTATTTCATAGCTCCTCATGGTTGTATGGCAGCGAAGCATCAGTTCAAATGGCTGATGTACTGCTGTTGATGATGATGATGATAGTCTACCGAGGCGGGATAGTATCAGACCCGGACTAGTTGCATCAACAAACGTGACTCGCAGAGGCCGGGATTTCCCTCTCCTCACTCTTTCCAAGACGGGTGATTTGCTTCACCGGCAACCCGTGTTCATTCACATCAAGGAGCCTATCAATCAAGCTCTGCAGCAAATACACGTCGTGGGCATAACCAGCCTGAGGACTAGCATCTGTCGACTCAGGCGAGTGAAATATCATGAGATTACAGCAACTGATTGGTGGCAGTTGTCTCCTCCTTTTTATCTCGCTGCATTCTCCATTAGCCTTCACCGTGTTGGTTACCACACACCGGTATGTTAGTGTCCGTAGGACTCAACACAGGCACGCCAGCTGATTCTCCAGCAACGGGTGGACATCATGCTGGAGAGCCTGCAGCTGGTCAGCAGGTGGGCTCGTTCGAACATGGAGGTAGCTGGGTTTCCGCTTGCTTGGATGTACCCACGAAACTTCTTTCTATGGAAAGTTTCGCCCGGCTTATAGGCTTGCGCGGCTTCTCTGCTGTTTGTGACTGTACAGGCATGCTAGCTGAGACTCCAGCGAAGGGTGAGTAAGGGAGTCATCCAAACCTCTTTTAAATGTGGACAGTGATGTTGCAGAGATAACTGATTCTGGAAGAGCATTCCACGGGCCATACACACGGACGGAAAAGAAGTTCCTGTGGCGAGCCAGACAGCTGTACTGTTCCGGCAGTTTTAGTGAGTGACCTCTCAATTTGGTATTACTGCTGAGTTGCAGTTAGCAGCGGCACACATGATGTGAATTGTGCATAATTAACTACACCATGAGCAAGTCACCACGTAAGCGGCGGTAAGGTCCGCTGAATACCCCCAATGGTTCCAGCCTCTCCTCGTAGGGAAGATTGTGCATTCGAATAGCCTACTTTGATACTCGACGTTGGGGCTGCTCCAATGCGCTAAAGTCGTGTTCTAGCCATAGGTGCCATGATTGAATTACATTTTCAGCTTACGTGTAATTATGGTAATGATATAATGATTTTCCTGGCCTATGTCCTCGGTCATCGTGAACCCGGAGTGAAGACGCTAATACTCTATTAGGCATTCTTCCAGCTGCTTATTACCGCTCTCTTCGACCTTTTGCAGGCTAATGTTGGCCATTGTTTGCGCGCAAGCTGGATAGACTATGGATTTTCAAAAGCTGCACCGCGACTTCGTAGCTATTCGATTTTCCTTTGTGCTAGTGGTCCAGCGAACCAACGATATTTCGGCGTTACTACTTTTCGTAGTTACTCCATACTCCGCTATTAACCTTTCTGCACAGAGTTCTCCAGGCTGTACATACCATCCCTTGATGGGTTATTTCATCTGGATCTTCATGGCATGTCCCAGTCCTGCTTGTCCGACTACTCTGCTTGATCCTGAGCAGACCCTGATGATGCTCCCTAGCATGTAACAAAATCTTCGTGCATAACCAAACCAAATTTTTAGCACAATCCTGCTGCGCGTGCTCCTTCTGTAGGGGAAAATTTCGTACGTGGCGGAATTCCACGAATAGTAACTACTGTGGATATGATAATTGCAAGGCTTGGTTTTATCAGATGGCATGGTCTTGTGTTTCGCTCACTCAAAGTACAACATGCATACTATTACGTTTGTTTATCGTTAAGAGTCAGGGTTTTCAAATAGTCGCTGTCAACTAATTTAAATATTCGTGTCTTCTAACTGCCACCGGACAGCTGCACGACTACCGATGAACTTTGAAATCTTATCCACTACTCATTGAAGCCTAGTAGTGTAAACATATACAAACCCAGAATTTATGTCACTACCAAGCGGTATGCCTGCACTCAACGTTGTTCAGGTGTAGTCCGCCCACACTCGCACAGTTCACTTCCCTATGTTACATTGCTCTTATCTTCTTTCACCCAACAAGTACGCCACCACAACATTGTTCCAAAGCTGGTCAGAACGCACGGTACGAACCGGACGTAATCCGCTCTACCCGGTCGCTTTCTGAGAACCACTGGCTGCCTTTAATTCCACTCCACTATATATCCGACGGGATTCGGCTTAGGCTGCTTTATTATCTCTTTTCTTGCACTGAAAAGCATTCTCATTAACAGTAACTCGGCAGTGCACTGGAACTGTGCTTCGTTGCCCTACGCCATAATTGATCTGGTACTGAGGAATCGCATGGGCGGAGAAGGATGCAATTGATGCAAATATTCGTAATCAGTCTGTACCTAGAAAAAGATCATTGCACGTAGATAAGGCGTCATCACCAAGACGGCTTCGACAAAGTATTGATCGCCATACTCTATATCCAGTCCTGTCTCAACATCGTACACATGTCCATTTGAGAGATTAGAGTAACCAGTCAACTAAAACTGGTGACGATCCATATCCTCAAGCCTTGCTATCCAGGCACACGGTATACTATGTATACCTCAATTTAGCAAGCTGGCCGAGTTAATCGACACTCACTCCAGTGATCAGCATTTATTTCTCAATGCTCATCACATAATCCGTCAAACCAAAGTCTATCTAGGCAATCAATAGGCTGACAGTTATGCACAACACCTATCCCAACCAAACTAATCTACTTTATCTGATATGTTTATCTAATATACCGTCATGATCAGCGCGTCCCATAGTTCACCTGTATGCCTTATTTTACGGTCACCCAAAGACATTGTCCGTGTTATGGGTAGAGGCTATAGAACACTGCAACTCAAAGCGTTATTCTTCTCCTCAAGATGAACGGTTGACGACATCATTTTTAACTTCTGACTGGAAAGCACATACGTTTTTGTGTGCATTTGCACATCTCCAAAGCAAATATGGGGCGCGTTGCTTTCGCCTGTACACTGCGTTCGAGCTGTTGGTACACACGCTTGCGCCGATGAATTCCAGTGTGTTTGGCACCACCGAATCGGGGTAACCAAGAACCCTAAACAAGTCCTTTGGCGGATCCGGTAAAGGGGATGAGGGAAGTTCATCGACCGTCGTATTTTCCTGATTGTTCTCAGTTCGTGTGGATTCCTGTGAAGATTGTGTTTCAGCTCCTTTCATCAGGAATGCCTTGACAATTAAATTCTGCTCATCCTCTTGCGACCATTTGGAACCTCGTTGATATTCGACGTGAGTGGGGTGTTCAAATGGACGTCGCACTCTTATTGATTCCATTATCCTAGGCAAAATTAGGTGCGGCGCCAAGCCACGCACTAAACTCGAACAACACCAAGGCAGTACGCATCCTTCAAATTCTGTTAACCAACAAATAAGGGTATAGCCTTTGGTGTAAACTGTTCCCGAAATGAGGCTACTTACAATGTGCTTAATTGGGCCGGGCTGCCGCAAAATTTGCCCCCTGTTGGATTTGAGTAGTAGTCCATTGCTGCGTCCTGGGGACACTCGCCTCAGGTCCAATTTGGCCGCGTGTTCCGGTTTTGCCGTACTGCGCTCGTCCACACTCCGGTCCTGAGGCGGACTCATCGGGTGAAAACATTCCATGCAGCAGGTTAGGTCGTTCAAATTAAACCTTCGTTCAAATTTCGAAGCAGTTTGTGTCAAGAGATAGTGATTGTTATAGTTTGATTTATGTGCACCGTTTATCACTTCATTGTTTGTATTCACACATGGATTTGAGCGTGGTTGAAGCGTGCGTCTTCTGTAATTCATCGCTGCAGAGCTGTTGACTTGGAGGGCTGGTCCAGCGCTTGTCCTATTCCTATCTTTAAAATTTTCTCCTCTTTGGTAGCCCAAATCTCCTTTTCCCACATCTTGTATATCGTGTTCGGCGTCCACACAACACGAACTAAGTGGTAAACTTAATGCAGGTTCCCGAATGGACTCCAGGGCCTTTGATGTGGTTGTGAGCGAGTCCGGACTTTGAGCTGGTCTTATCACCATTTCCCGCTGGGTTTCTCCATGTACACATGAACTGTTGCTTGTTAACTGAGTACTTATCCCTTGTCCCTCCAGACAATGCACTGTTTCTTGTTTTGCGGGGCGCTCAGTAGACATCCGTAACGCATAATCCAAGTCACCTGCTGAGACAGATCCTTCCGGTAAACTTGTCCAAAGTAAGTTTTGCAGCTGATCTAACTTGTTACATATCGATGAATACATGGACTCTCGAGTGGCATCCTTCAGCCTGTTAATTTCGCCTTTTGCCTTTAAATACCAAATGTACACTTTGGTGACAAGACACTTGAGTTCTTCTGTACTTGGTTGCAAGTCGCACCTGTATTTTCGGTGCTCCATTAGCGCGTGGTTAGTGGGTTTACTTTCTACAACTGCCTTGGCTCCCCGCTGTCTAATAGATGCCCGACTGAAGCTGATTGAAGGGGATTTGTCAGATTCACTTTCAAATGTCAGTGCCATGGTGCTAGTCACATCCAACAGCTCGCTGACCTTGGAATCCTGGCTGCCATTGTGTATAGAGTTGGCGACCCTGTCTCGGTTTACAGATGTGTTGTTTGTCCACGCTCTATAGCCTTTGGATTTGGAATGTACCACATTTGCAGCATACACTGGCATTTTCTGTCTTCGATCATCCTTCCGGCCGTACACACTAGATTGCTCTACTCTGACACTCGAATTCCATGGTCTTCGCTGGCTCAGCCCACTCGCGTTACCGGAACGCTTCGACGACTGCACTCGCCTCTCTGTGTTCGGGTAGTTACTCGTGGCTACCTCGTGTTTTGTTACCAAATTTGTTTTGCCCATGTGCAGCTGCATTCCTCCAACTCCCTGCATGCATGGCGAGCTGTATCGATCGATTGATTTAAACACCGATTCATTCGTATGACCTCAACCGGTAGTACAGCCGGAGTCACATGGGCTTTTAGTGCAAGCATAGCATCTGCTGAATTGGTTTACCGCGTGGTATCGCTGGGATCATGTTCCATTTTCCTAACACTGACTTATCTTGAAAACGACATGATGCTGCAAGTTTCATCCTCCCAGATAACTTTTCAAAGGAGGTTCCGAGTAGTCACATTCCATGATTTATCTGAGACTGTTTTTCGTTTCACGTTTATTCAACCCTCCTGTTCTTGGCAACCCCCTCCCGTTTTGAGTCTTCAAAGGTGTATTGCAAATAAAAAACGGTCCCTTTGGTGTCATCAATGAACCACTCAAAACTGATCGCACACATTCCAATATCAACAGCAAGGCTTTATTACACTCCACTAGCTCTTCAACCTAGCTACCTTCAGTGTTCGAACGCTCATGCAAATTGGTTCACAAGCTGCTCTTGCGCGCACCTTGGAATCTCTCTCAATCGACATTTGTTTGTTGCCTAACCGAAACCTGTTTACAAGACTACAGCACACATCGCGGCGATTGCACTCACCATCCACAAGTTCCAGTTGCACATTCCCCTTGCGCTTATCTGGAGCTGCGACAGTGGCAGACTCTGGTTGCCGCGGCGTAGGAGTTGTGTTAAGCACGCGTTCTGAGTCAGCGCTCATTGAGTGGTTACCTGTCAACAGCCGTCTTTGTGCAGTCCGCTTGGAAAGCTCAGTGTGATCTTCCAGCCATGAGACCAGTAAGAGCTACTTATTCATTGTGGTGGCGTAGGCTCCTATGGACTGTAGCCCGGAAGAAGCTAAAGACAAATTCTACCGCCAACTCAGCGACCTCCTTCGCATGAAAAGCCGCACGGACAGCGTGATATTCGCCGGAGACCTAAATACTCAGGTGGGTAAACCAGAGGTTCATGAGCGCGAACTTGGCCAACACAGCCATGGTACTCGCTGGACAGACAACGGCGATCGACTTCTTCAACTGTGCGCGGTCCACGACTTGTTCCTTTCCAGCACCAATTTCCCACGTTCCTGGCGTCAACCAGTCACCTGGCGACTTCCGGCGCCCGGTCAAGCTTGGACGCAAATTGATCACATCGCTGTTAGTTACCGTTGGCGAGGGTGCATAACGGACTGCAAGTCAATTTGGTACACTTACCTGACTTCGGATCATGCGCTCGTGTTTGCGAAGTTTGTTCTGCGTTTTGGAGGCACCCAACAGCGTCGCCGGAAACGGCTTGACACAGACAAGCTCGCCGTCCTAAATGTTCTCGGCGCATTTCAGAACACATTAGCCTCCAACTTGCGTTCTCTATCCTCTGATGTTGAGACACACGGGGTACAAATCCAGAGCGTCTTATGAAAGTCCGCTACCCTGGTCTGTGGCTTCACTAGACGAGCCGCTAGTAATTGGATCTCTGCAGTCTCTCCAATTAATGGAAAGTCGTCGAAGATTCCGGCCCCTGTTCAGCACAACGTAGTACGCAGAACCACAGGTGCTGAGCTCAGACAGCTCATCGGGAAGGATTGTGAGGTTTGGTGGACACAACGCGTCGTCTAGATGGAGCGGGCAGCCTTAGCAGAAAACTTCCGCAAACTCTTCCGACCTATTCGCTTCACTGGAGGCAGAAGACCAACAATGAGTGAGGTTTTGCGTGAAAATGCCAGTGAACTAATTCACAGTCGTCACCGTCATCCGGTGCGCTGAGTTGAGCACTTTAACGATCACTTCAACTGGCCACCAGCGCAACCGAGTCTATCTTCTGGGGTTTACAATGCTCCCTGGTGAGTGCATGATTCTCTACCGACAGTGACTGAGGTTTCCAATGAGTTGCGCCCACTGAAGCGCCACATATCATCTGACCCAGATGAACTACTTTCTCCTCTCTTCAAATATGCAGGTCTAGCTCTCACTCGTGAGCTGACATCTCTAATCAAGCAGATTTGGACAACTGAAACCATTCCATCCGAATGGCATTTAGCGGATGTTGTACCTGTGTACAAATAAGGAGACCGAACCGTTTGCTCCAATCATTGTGGCACCAGTCCCAGTTGTGTCGCATCCAAACTGCTCGCTGTCCTACTCTTGCGGAGGCTCGGTTACATACGTGAACAGCACCTGAATGAACAACAAGCTGGATTCCGCCCGGGTCGCAGTTGCGTCGATCACATCTTTACCATCCGCCAGACACTTGAACATCGCCATAAGTTCAGCCGACCAACTGTAGTCATATGCTTAGATATTCGAGCCGCTTTTGACTCTGTTGACAGAGTGGCTCTTTGGGATTGCTTACTGAAGTGGGGAGTACCTGTGAAGTACAGCAGCATTCTCCGTTCCATTTACCATCAAACTTCTGGCCGCGTGCGAGCACACGGAGACATTTCGCCCCCATTCAGTATCACTAGCGGCTTTTGACAGGGTTACCCAGCCTCTTCATTCTTATTCAACTTCGCCATAAATGAGATCCTGAATACTGCCTTGGAAAACCCTGATTCCTACTGTGCTGAACTGCACCCTGGTGGCCACCTTCGGGACTTAGAGTATGCGGATGACATCGCTGTGATTTGCCACTTCTACTGAGCGACCCAACATGTGTTTCTCAGACTGGAGATGTCTGCCTCCCAATTTGGGTTGACTTTTACCCCTTCCAAATGTAAGGTCTTGTTACAGGACTAACCAAGCGCATCCCCTTCTCTCACCTTTTTAGGGAATCTGCTGGAAGTGGTCGACAATTTCATTTATACTGGGAGTTGTCTTAATATTAACGGTTTGACAGATTGGATCTTCTTTCGTGTCTCCAAGGTTAAAGTCGCTTTCGCTTACCTCCGTTACATGTGGTTTCGTCGTGATCTCAGCCTCGCTCTCAAGGGACGAGTCTGCAATGCTACGGTAAGAGCGAATCTGCTGGACGGCTGTGAGGTCTGGACCGATCGCAAAAACGATATTCAGCGGCTCTCTCTTCGATCACCGCTGCCTGCGAAGTATTACTGGTGTTAGATGACAGCATTACATCAGTAATGAAGAAGTCCGCCGGCAAGTCTTCAGGTCTAACGAACTCCGCCGACCGATTGATAGCATCATTTCACTGCGGAGGATTCGTTGGCTTAGGCATGTGCTCAGCATGCCTACCCAGCGGCTACCACGACGAGCCCTATTTGCGAGCACAGACGTGGATTGGAAACGACGAAAAGGAGGGCAATGTAAAACTTGAATCCAATGCGTTAGGGCGTAAACGTTGAAGCTGGCTGTTATTAGACTTTCCCGACTCCCGGTTTGGGGACCGAAGGACCCTGAGCGCGTCTGGTTGCAAACGCTGGATGATATGGCCAAGGACCGTACGCAATGGCACACATGCTGTGAGACTCTTCTACCATCACAGTTGTCTTCCTTTTCTATCTATTATGCCTCTTATGTGTTGTGGCACTCAGCCAATTGTACGGTAATTTCGTAAAGTGTTATATACATATATATATATATATATATATATATATATATATATATATATATATATATATATATATATATATATATATATATATATCGCTCCTTTGAAACAGTTCGTCGTCATACGAAGAACAGGACTTGACCAATGTGATGCAAATGTGTTTGCGTTCTACAAATCTTCCAGCAGGCACATTTTGGCAGCAAGGAAGTAAAGTGTCTACGCATCACTCACACCGTCTAAATGATCGTTTTCTCTAACGCGAAGGAAATCCGCAGTGATTTGTTGTCTACGAGCTCATAGGTATAGCATGCATTCTGCCTGGTAATTTATGCCTGCGCTGGAGGGTTTCCGTTGTTGACCTTGGCAGCCTCACACTTCAGCAGCAGTGTAAGTGGGCTTTTCCACTCCCGAGGTGGAGTACATAGTGGCACAATCTACCACATTCTTATCACTGGCGATTTCGACATTCACACTGGTTTCCCCAGCCATCCTTGAAAAATAATCCAAAGCACATCTGCAAGAGCTGGCCTCCAGTTTCTTCTTTATAGACATATCAGCACTCCCGCTAAGCTCAGAGAGACAGACAGCCGATCTATACTGAACCAGATATTCACGAGCTAATAGCTCATAATCCAGAAGGTGATCGTGTAAGTCCATCTGATTACGTAGTCTTTCTTATCTAATACATCTGTTATGCGGAATATTCCGCGGAAATTACCGAGCCAAGGAGAACTATCCTACGCCAAGACACATCAGCTCGATTTTTGTGAAACAAGCAACCGGACCTTCCTGAAAGACGAAGCACTGGTTAGCATACGGCAGCTGTGACTTTTAAATTCACCAGAGTAAATTACTGCTGGTGGGGCCTTCAAATCGGCCGTTGCCACTTTCTCGTCAGAGTACTATTTTTATGGTATCTACTGCGGAGTTATCAAGTTTGTCTTAGCGTTCTCGCACAAGTGTTCATCTAGATCTTTCTGTGGTAATTGACGTTATCGTACTTCGCTAACATCCCTAAATTGTTTAGACACGCTAATAAAACACGCGTTATGTCGCAAGCGTGGCGGGAGAGCCTATATTGTGCTGTGGCCGATGGTGGCTAGATCCTGACAGATGGTCTACCCACTGCTGCTACTGTTGTGCCATGGGCTCATGTCCTGGACGCCTCCTAGTGGCGACCCCTAGGTGGGACTTGGGTTACGCCCTTCTCCCTGCTAAGATCCAGGGCACTAATCCGCATGAGTCCGTGAACTGATCATGTGCTAGTCCCGCTGACCTTCGGAAGTACATTTAGCCGAAGGCTTCAGTTGAGGACCCGTGTCGTTCTACTGTCAGGTGTAGGCGCCCTGCTTATATCCTAGTCCAAAACCCCATCCTATTCGGAGTTTGCGAAGTGGTCGATGGCCCTCTTCCCGTGACACCTAGCCATGGGAGACAACAGGTCTCTGGGGTATAAGCTCACAGCTTGATTAGCGTAGATCAGAAGCGCCAAGCATTGTGTCCGACGGTGGGAGAGTACCTCCGGTTGTGTAATGGTTCGCTACTTCTAGCCTCAAGCCAGGCAGCCC